ATGAACACATCTCTCAAGATGAAAATTAAAGAACCTTAGCTAACTTAACTTCTGGGTCACAATTGGTTTCTGAATCATTAATCTAAGCCACAGACCATATCTTGCTTTTACCTATATTAGTTTTTCCATTAAGTTTTGCTTCCTGGTGGACTGCTATCCTGAAATTTTCTTACCACCTGCTGATCCTGTGACATGGCCACCAGCAAATGGTCACATTCAGTACTGTAAATACTGGTTTGATTTTTCATAGTAATACTATCTTCCAATTGCAGAAAAGCAAAGACTATCAGGCAGACTTCACTTTCACTGTTTGTAGTCAACACTTTCTTTCCCCTTTTACACAGTGCCATATGGATCATGGTTTGAGCACACTCGTGGCTGGCTGTCCATGAGAGAAAGTGAAAACTTCCTGCTACTGTGCTATGAAGACTTTAAAAAGGTAACTGCCATTCTTACAACAACCACACAGCCTCTCACCATCTCACCCCATACAGAACCACACATTCCTCCATACCCTCACTCCACATACATTGTCAGGAGTAGGCTCATGGAGAGTTCCTAAAAGTGAGATTATGCCCTATGTCCCCTTTTGACCTGCATCTGGCATTACCTATCCAGCCTACTTGTCCATCACCCTCTTCTTCCCTACCCTATTCCACCCTGAGTTAGGGTGGAATATCTCACAATTGTGCTACAGACTTTTTATAAAAAATTCTGTTCATGCAACTCATCCCATACATCTCATAACCTAGTTGTTAGTGACAAATGGGCAAATCATGGTCATTCCACTCTTGTGCCCAAATGTATTTCATTATCCTTTGATCACAAGAAGAAGAAGAAAGATATGAAATTCACCTCTGAATACTGGGAGTGTGCAAATGCTGGAGTCACATGAACAGTACTGTGTGAGATTCAAATCTGACCAAGTGTGTACAGGATGTAGCCAATTCGGGAGGATGTAGTCCTGTTTTGTTCACTACAGAGGCTCTGCATGGTGGACTAGAATACACTGGAGATTTCAAAAGTTTTATTGAAGAATATAAAAATGTTTCAATATTACATAATGGCATATGTCTATATAAACTGGTAGGCTACACACTTATCTGATCAAGGTAGGTTTTTTTTTTAATTGAAATGCCCCACTGAAGGCTAGAAATATGGTAAAGTACTGTGTGTGACTCAAATATCTCTTATTTTAAAATTTAAAAAATATCTTGGCGGGGTGCTGTATGACTCTAAACCTAGACCTTGGAGATAGAGACAGATTCAAGGATTCTCTGTCATGCTTGGTTGTATGGTAGTCTTGAGGTCATCCTTGGATTTAAGAGACATTATTTCAAAGGATCATTAAGAAAATGATTTTTAAATTCATATTTTACTGTATTTTCATGTAGTCAAAAAATTCTTTCTATAATGGTGGAAATATAATGTAATAAAACATGTAAGGTCAAAAATATTCTTATTTAATCAGCAGCTCAAAAGTTTAAGTGGTTCAGAAGTTATGGGTGAAAGGCACATTGTAGGGAGACACTGTAGCCCTGCCTCCTAGGAGCCGCTAAAGGTGTGCTTGGCCTCACCCAATCAATAGTACATCATTTACATATCACAGAAAAGATATCAGTTTTACTTTTAACTGTGCAAGAAAAATTAAACTAAGCACACAATCTGTCAGAAAAACACTAGCTCATCTTTAGAATTGTTAAAAAAGTTAGTTAAGAAGGATAAGAAACAGCCTCATAGCTATTATTTATCTTATGGAAATAGACTCTGATGTTGATGAAGTTTTCTGATAGTTGTGCATTCTTTAGTTTTGTTTTTATTTTTCTTATTATATTTTTAGTATTTAAAACATTTTTAAATTTAATATTATTATGTTCATATTATTTCCCTCCCATGATTCCTTCCACATCTTATACCCCTCCTGACCCACCTAACCTTAAACTCTGTCTCAACAAACAGAAATATAAACTAATACAACAACACTGCCCAAAATAGTAAAACACTGAAACAGAAAACAGTTAATCCACTTAGCTGTAACCAAATAAAGGACACATGCATACAAAACTCTGGAGTCTATTATATATTGGTCAAGTAACCATGACCATGAAGACTTCCCTGGGATGGTTGGTATACCCAGTGGACTGCATTAGAGAAATCTGATTTTTCCTCTTCCAGCAGGTATAAATAACAGTTCAGTTGTTAACCTTTATCCTAGTGGCTAGGTTTTCATTCATTCATTTTATACACACTCACAAAATAAAAACTATTATATCAAAATTGGACAAGACAAACCAACAGAAAGAAAAGAATCCAAGAGAAGGCACAAGAGTCAGAGGCCCACTCATTCACACTCGCAGGAATCCCATCAAAACACTAAACTGGAAGTCATAACATAAATATAGAGGACCTGGTGCAGACCCATTCCACCTTCTTAATGACCTGCATTCTACCCCCCCCCATGCCCTGTAATCCTTTCCTACTGCTTATGGATACTCCAATTTAAACACACATCAAAACATTCAATGCTGACACCCACATGAGGGAGACTGAAGTTTGTCACTCTGAGTCTAGGTTACCAAGAATGGCTATTTCCTGCTCTATCCATGCACATGAATATTCCGTATATTTTTCTTACATCTGACTAATACGCCATTGTGCATATGAACTACAGTCTCATTATCCATTCATCAACTGGTGAACATCTAGGTTGCTTCCATTTCCTGGTAATTGTGACTAGAGCAGCCGTGAACACGGGTGAGCAAGTATCTCTGTGGAAGGATATAGAGTACTGTGGGTATATTCCAGGAGGGTATAGCTTGGACACAGGATAGATCCATTTCTAGATATTGTAGGAACGGACATACTGATTTCCACAGTAGCTTCATTCATTTGCATTTCCACCAGCAGTTAATACATGTTCCCCTTCCCCAATATCCGTGACAGCATTTGTTGTCTTTTTTTTTTTTTTTACTTAGTCATTCTGACAGGGGTAAAATGAAATCTCAGAGTTTTAATTTGCCTTTTCCTGGTGGCCAAGGATGTTGAACATTTAATAAATATCTTCCAACCATTTGTATTTCTTCTTTTGAGAGCTCTACGCATAGTTTAATGCACCAATGTTTAATAAGGGTTTATTTTTCTTGGTGTTTAGTTGTTTGTTTTTTAAAGTTCTTTGTATGTTCTAGACACTAACCATCTGTCTGATGTATAGCTGGTAAAGTTGTTTTATTCCTCATTCTGTGGGCTGACACTTCATTCAAATAATAGTGTCCTGTGCTGTACAGAAGTTTTTAGTTTCACAAGGTTCCATTTGTCAACTCTTGTTCTTACCTTCTGCACCGTAATGAGTTTCTGTTCTGAAGTCCCCTCTTATGCTTATAAGTTGAAATGAATTCCCCACTTTCTCCTCTATCAGATTTGGGGTCTTGGGTCTTAAGTTAAGGTACTTAATCCATTTGGAGTTGAGTTTCGTTCCCTCCCCATGTGTCCAGGCTGAGAGTGCATCCCTTCATGTGGGATGGTCTTTAAGTTGTTTTGACACCAGGGAAAAATACTAATCTAATACCAGGGGCCCCCTAGAGTGCAGAGGCCTCCTAATTGATATCCATGTTCAGGGGTCTGGATCCGTCCTATACTGGCCTCTGAGACAGCAGGCTGGGGTCCATGTGTTCCCACTTGTACAGGCCAGCTGATTCTGTGGGTTTCACCAGCTTCATACCAACCCCTTTGATCTTCATTCCTCCATCTCTTAAACTAGGTTCCAGAGTTCAATTCAGTATATAGCTGTGTGTGTCTGCCTCTGCTTCCATCAGCCACTGGATGAGGGCTCTAGGATGGCAGAAAGAGTAGTCATCAATTTCATCATAGGGGAAGGGCATTTAGGTTATCCTCTCCACCATTGCTTAGATTGTCGGTTCGTGTCATCCTTGTAGGTCTCTGGAAAACTCCCTAGTGCCAGATCTATCCTCAGACCTATAATGGCTCCCTCTAATATGGTAACTCTCATCCTGCTCTCCTCTATTTGCCCCAATTCAATATTTCTGCTCCTCCATTTCCTCCTCTCCCCTCCTCTTCTCCCTTACTCTCATGCTCCTAATTAGCTTAGGAGTTACTGTCTCTTCCCATTCCTGGGGTCCATTTATCCCTTAGAGTC